TACTAGGACACTGACTCAATTTGAAAAGCATTGGAATGATAGTTATTTTGCTAAAGAAGACCGCTGTGCTCGCGTCGGATACCTTGGAACGAGACGAACTATCTTTGCAGTTACAGGAACCCAGCATCGGTGTATATATAACTGAACACGAGTCACTTGGAACTAAGAACAGCCCCAGTTGGTATGCAACAAGTTAGAAATGATTGACTTGAAGATCATTCTTCGTATGCGTAAACACCGGCTGACAAAATTGCTTAGAAACACTAAGTTGCCAAAATTAACGCTGACAAAAGGCAGAAGTTAATTGCTACGAATTCAACGTTGTTTGTTTCAGCATTTACCTTTATTTGCAAAGGTGTTTTTTATCTTTATTGCTTAGAATTACCTTCAATGCAGTATTTTTTATTCTAAAATATTTGAGATGTCGCAATTCGTGAAATGTAGAGCTTTGTTATTCTCGTCGCGCGCCAGAAAGTCGCCTCTGTCATAAAGCGTTTACATTAGAAATTACCTCAATATAACTGAAACTAAAATGAAACTTTCGATTTCTTTTTATGGCATAAACACTGCATAATTACGTCAAGTAGTTGGTTGGAAGACATAAATATTTTCATATTACTTTTATGTTGTTTAATCGACATGATATAGTGAAATATTGGCCCCTGCCTAACGAAGGATACTTTGTAATTATCGCAAACGTGTCTTGATTATTTTCCGGCAATGTATTAAATATCATTTAGTTTTTTTTTTTTTTCGCAGGAGAATGAGAATAGTGGGGTAAAAAAAATTTACTCAGTGGACTCATAACAATTTTAGGAAAGGCAAGATATATTTATACACTGCTTGGAAAAGCGCATGATGGTGAAAATCGGCTTTGTTGAAGGGTGGCGACAGAGAATTTACGACACACGGTATACTACCATTTCGAGCTTCAATTTATTCGCTTACGGCAAAATGGTTTGAAAAAGTTCATAGTAATAGATAACTGAAATTTGTGTTGAATATGGAAAAGGTAGGCATCGGCTTTCAGTTCGAAGCGAGGGTCAACAAGGAAAACTTGCATGCCTGTATACCTCGCTGGAAGTCTTTGTTTTGGTAGTCGAGGTTTTGCAGGGTTTGCGAGGCCGTCCTCGCCGGGTAATTTTTTCCGGCCAGTTTTTCTTTAATATTTCACTTCCCAGTTGCTTGTGGAGGCTTACACCTTTTCCTTTTGAATTTTAGTGTGTATTTTGACAATCAACCACACGACAGTTCACCTCGTTTCAACTATGAGGAATGTTATAGATTGTTTTCACAAAGGTCAAACCTGTCAACAAGGACGAAGCGCTGAACAAAGTTTGACTATTGCTACGTCACAGCTGACGTAATATCCAAGATGGTGTTTTTCTAATCACGAAAGTTGTAAATATGGGCAACTTCAAAGCGCTCTTGTCGCTGATACAAAGAAAACTGGAGGAAATGGCAGTTATTTTCGAGCTCCTGAGGAAAGTCTACTGATTGAGATAAACTTTTTCTAGACCGTACTTTCCCTTTAACAGATAATGTAGAAACTTCCAATGTAGTTGAGTTTTTTGAGGTTGACCGACTGTCTGTCTAGTTGTTTCTGTTTGTTTCGAACTATTTGGCCAAGACGGTGCGTAATTTTGATAATATAGATCATGCATATATCGATAAAGAGCCTCACTGGCAGTTAAATGTATCAACAAATGGTTACCCCTTTCGAAAGAAATGATCGAAACAGTGTTGTGTTCAAGCTAACAATGCCATTGTTGTTCTTGTACTGATATCCGGACGTGAGATGACTTCATACGATGGCAAGTTGGGTTGCATGTGCTTCCTCGTATATGATTCCATACGACCTAGTAAACGAGACGCGCAAGAATTAAAATAGCTCAGTATCCCTCTTTCATCGTCTTATGGTGTGCTGAACTTGTGCTATGAATGAGGATGCATAAGGGAGTAACAGTAGTACAAAATAGAGATGCAATAACACCTTCTAGGATGCAAATGTTAATTGCCGTCAAAATGATAGATGGAAATATAAAGCTGTTGTATTTTATTTATAGCACTGCTAATCATTGTTTCATTTGAGGGAGTATTATCAGTAAAATGAAAGAGCATTTACACCTTGGCATTGTATGTGTTTCCTTGTAAATGTATGGTTCTATCGTAAACTGGTAGCTCATGAAATAAAGCAGTTCATTGTTATCTACTTTAAGGCATTTTTCAACATGTTGTTTTCAGATTTGTACATTGTGATTGGCTGAAATTTTAGTAGCGAACATTGGCGATTGAAGTTTTAGGGAAATACCCAACTTGATCTCCATTTTCTCCCTTTTCATAGGCAACTCTTCCGTACCTCTCCAAAGAACTTCCTAAGGAACGTTTTCGAGACTATATGCTGTATTTCCCGATTGACTTCCAATTGAAAATTTTATTTACAAAACGAGTCAAAAATGTTACCATAAAATAACCCTTCACGGGGCAAGCTAGTTTCAACGAACTTCAAGGATCGCTATCTTTGAATCGTGAACTTAACTAATGAATCCACCATGCCAAAACGACACATAGAGCTCGAATTAAGGCTCTCCGGTGAAAACTTACACTATCGAGCGAGCAGAGTTCGAACTGAACGGCGGTTGTATTGAGGCAATTAGAGCGTACTTTCTGCAAAGACCAAGCTGCTTATAAATCTTGCAGACGATATAAATAAACAAAAAGATATTGAAAAGCAGGTGTGCTACTGGATGTCCAAAAATTGAGCATTAGCTTGATGATATCTACTTCTTCCCTTTTTTATATCATAGCGAAATCTAACAGCCATGATCCAAAGATCTCAATTGTTCCAGGCCTTAGGTTGAAGCCCTCAAACAAAGTAGTTAACAAATCAAACCAAACCCTCCACTTTCTGCGAAGAAATATTGGAAACTGTCTTTTTCTAGCTTGTTGAGTGTCTGTGAGACCAACGCCTGTGAGAATTAAGCCAAGAATGAGTTTTCTTTGTTTTAAGGGCTTTGAGTAGCGAATCTCAAAATTTGTTAAGGTTTCCCTCGTTTTCAAAGTCCCGCGCTACTTATATTTTACAGAGCAAGATTTGCACTAATATTTTTGCGCTTAGCAATCCAAAAGATATCTCTCGGAAGTCAGAAATTCATAATTTTCAGATTAGCAGAACTTTTAGCAGTCGCGATAACCCAGACCTGTGTAACCGAGAAATGAAAAAAAATTAAATAATAAATAAAAAATAACAAAAAAAAGTTAGAGACTGTTATTGCCCCGGACTTAATGTGGTATTCTCATTCTTTTCATCCAAAAACGTCCGAAAAGCCGAATTCACAAGCATCTTGAGCATACAGAGATTGTAATAAGGCGATGTTTACGATGTGTGGACATTTTTAGGGCGATTACACCTACATCTACCACTGCCTTAAATTTATCAAACAACCCTGACTAGCCTCCCCTCGATAGAAATAGGAAAATTTTCCCTTTAAGGCTACCCCACAAAATGCAAGCTTATTAATGTTGACTGAATCTGCGATCCTCCAACACAACAAGAAGAGAGAACAACTCCCCAAAAAATTTTATCATTGAACTTTGCCATAAAGTAATTTATTTCCCAACAGTATAACCTAATTTTACGTACCACTGTTTTATCATGTAATTTCTACATGCATAACCTTAACATAGTCACCAATTTATCCTTTTATCAAAGTGTGCATGAGTTCAGATTTTCTATTAATCTCGTTCAGATGTATATGCCTGATGCCGCAATTTCCTTTACACAATTGGATTTCTGTGCCAGTATTGCGAAAAACAGCATTCTCTCTGTAAATTTTAATATCAAGAATCGTTAAGAGAATATCACAATGAGGTTATACTCCTGTATTTTTTTTCTTTGTGTCAAACGGCAGTGTATCAATTCAAAAGGCAATGAAAGACTTAAGATTTAAGCGCTAATTAATACGGTTTTCGAAGAAAAGAAATACTTTCACGACTTAGCTATTTGGATAAACTATGAAAGTAGGATTTAAGAAATTTTGTTCTATTCTAATCTTATCTAAGCGTTTGTTTTAGTTTGCTCTCATGGTATTCCGGTCTTACGCTTAATTGAATGCACTGATAATGCTCTAAACCCTCACTTCAAAGAATAGCTCTTGAAGAAAAATTAATCAAAACTTACATCATCATCTTCACATTTTATCAACCCAAAGAATATTTACAAATGATACCTTCCCAGCTTCAAATATCCAGGGGCTGAGATTAAAATGTCGCACATTATTAACCTATCTTCATTTCTCTTTAGAAGCTGAAAAGGGGTCTAAGTCATTTTAAAAAGAAATCTGCAAATGTGCAATCATAACGTTTCTTCAACTGAGTAAAAACAGAGGCGGACCTGGAGGGAGGGTGGGACCTGGGGGAGGGACCTGGAGGGAGGGACGGAGGGGAGGGTGCAGGGGGTACGCATCCCCCCCTCCTGAGACGGCCTGCAGCTTTCTAATAGAAGTGGTATTCTGCTATTACAATTTGTTTACCTCCGGTCACCAGTCAGTTACGCCATTCTTTAGTGGTGCACCCCCTCCTCACAATTATCCTGGATCCGCCCCAGAAAAGTGTCCCGTAAAATAGAAAAGAGAGTCCTAATGGCAATGCCCCAATTTATCCTGGTGGTTGCGAAAGCTGTAGTAGCCACACACGTCAGATTAATGCACTTCTGCTACGAAGAGGTAGTTGCCTTATAAGAACATGAAATAGGTGTGACCTGGCGCGAAATTCCACTGCGACATTATGACATAAATCTCTTTTCTTGGAGAATATATTTCACTTGCGAACTTTTCGTCTGAAAGACAACGGGTGGGAGGGATGAATAATAGAGAGTCCTTGTGGTTAATACGCCTATTGGAAATAAAATGCTCTGAGCCAAATAGCAAGTACAAAATATCTTATCACGCTCTAACTGCAAAGTGGTACCAGCCATCTTAAATCTACGGACCGACTAAGCTTTAGCGGATTCCAATTGCTGTGGAGTTGAAGCCAAATTTAGACCAGCGATCGCTAGAAGTATAACAGCCACCGCCTCCAAAGTGAAGTTCTGTCAAAAAGAAAAACCTTTTTGGCATTTTGTGTTGGGGAGAGGTGATGAGCTTTGCCTTGGATAACCAGTCTACGGCAACACCTTTTCTTTCATAGTTTGATTTATTAAGATAACTTGTAGGTGTCTGACCATTTTGGTTTAGCATAAACGCAGGCAAGCTGTTGGGATTTCCGTCGCTGTTATTAAACTCGATCACGTCTCCATTGGATCTGAAACCCTGAGTTGTTTTGTTATTAGTAACAGATTCAGGAAGGATGGCAAGAAAGATGTACTCCTTGAAGTCGTTCTTTGGTTGAGTGTAACAAGAGTGGTTGTTGACCAAAACACCAAAGTAAGTCTCACTGTAATCTGGATGGGGCTGAATCAACGTGTACGACTCGCTACCATTTCCTTTAATTTTCAACTTTAGCAAAACGTTTCTTTTGTCTTTGAAGAGGGAGTCAACAACTTGCTGAGCATCTGATCTCAGTGTGAGGCTTTGCGGAAGGAAACTGAAGCCACCACCAGCAATGTCAAGCTCACAGTATAACCTGATAGGTTCAGAATTTGGTAAAGGATCGATTAAATGTACGCCGCTTTTCGCCTTTGGATATTTCTTTTTAATTTCTTGGCAATTCTTGAATAGACAATGCTGAATGCAAAACAAAAGAAATTGATAAATAAGATATCCATGCATGGAAACCATTCCTAAAAAGCGTAGATCCTTCTCTCAAGGAAGAATACAGAGCAGAAGCCACAAATATCAATACAAACGAACATATGTGAAATTTAAACCAACGTATTTGTACACAGTAAAGAGCACTATTTAAGCAATGGTGAAAATCAGACCTGAAAAAATTCAGGCCTGTACCGGATTCGAACCACTGACCTCTTAGCCCGACATAAACCCGTAAGATGATAACGAATATATGAATTAGTGCTCTTTATCGGGAGATCGTGCACAAATGCGTTTCTATAACCGAAGTTCAGATATATTAATTTCATATATTCATTGTGTTCGATTTATCGGATTTATGTCGGACTAATTTAACGACCTGCTCCCACTTGGCTTGTTAGCTCAATTGGTAGAGCGCTGCGCTAGTTTCGCAGAGGTTACTAGTTCGAATCCCTTACAGGCCTGAACTTTTTCAGGTCTGATTTTCACTATCGCTTAAATAGTGCTCCTTACTGCGAGGATCGTGCACAAATACGTTACTATAACCGCAGTTTAGATATATGAATTAAACCAAGATACAAGAACTTTTAATTTACAGTCTTGAGTGCTGTACTCAAAATTCTTGTTAGAGTTTCGAATGCAGGAACCGAGAAGAAAGCTGCTCAGTTTGTTTTTATTTTTTTTCCCTGTCAGAGCATTTTTTTGTCACACAAAGTCTTAAAATCCTCATCTGTAACATTTTCAAAGGAAAAACTAACCTTTCCTTTCCTTATTTGCTGATATACGAACCCCAAGGTGTAAATAAGAAGCCAATCTCCGTAGTTCAATTTCTCGACTCCACAATCGTTTAACTCACACAAACCATTCGCACCCTTTGATGTCTCGTAGTTGTATGATATGCATCCTGGCTCATCATGGCAGGCGTGAATACAGTTTAACCAGTCTCTGGCGATAAACTGTTTGAAGGCATAGCCTACTAGAACACGGTTATTTTCTGTCGATAGACACAGTGTCCAAGTGATCTCTTGATTCAAAACCAGAAGGAAAATAAAACTTAAAAGTTTCTCAATCATCTTAAAAGTAAAAGTGAATAAAAAGACAAGGGATGTGATCTTAAATGCTAATCTGGCGAACGACGAAAGAATAACGTTTATTTATTAATAAACACCTGTCTTTATTCAGTTCTAATCCATTCTGGTTCATACGTCAACTTACCAAACAAATAAATTGCACATTAAGAAACTTAATATAAATAGTTCTAAAAATAGTGTAATCTTATTGAGATAGAAAGCAAGCCAATTGTAGTCACCACCAACAGCGTTACTTCATAGCTAGTAGAAAAAATAGAGACCACACAATACGATTACATTCTTTCGTGCAAATGTTGGATAAATTATTTAAAACGTGCACAAAACACGGTGTTTCTGAATTCTGGAATAGCTTATGGAGACCGTGGCTCAGAATTTATTGTGCGCCACAGGCATTACATGAAATCGGTTGGAAACAATAGATGTAAACCACCGACGTAAAACGCATTTTAAACAAGTGTTCTCGTGTACAAAGACAGGTCAAAAAGGCGACAATTTAGAATTGTGCCCTGAAAATTCAATTAGTGCGCGACTCACCGTGCTTTTAAGAGGCAGCTGATTCCGAGTCATTTCTAAAGAGTTTTATGTAAATTTTCTCAAAACAAAATTAAAGGTGGTAAAACGTATTCGGTTTGAATTTTAAAAATAATATATGTTGATTTAGGATATATCACTATTTAAAGGAATGAATTCAAGGCCTATCCAGACCACGAGTAGTATTTGATCCTGTGACTTTGCTTCATCCGAAAATTCGGAATTGCATATTCCAGTTGATGGGTTTCTTTATCTTCATCACCTGTCGGGTTGACAACTTGTTGGGAGAAAGTATGATTTGACGGAAATATGCCTTTATGATCTACGACGTGCTGATGAATATGCTACTACTGCACTTTGATAATCACGAAGCCTCTCGTAACCCCCTTTAAACACATCACGCTACAGACGAATTTTGATATAAGAGCTTCATTATAAAGCAGGCGACGTCAATGGCAAATGCAAATGCCACTGCTTTCGGTCCATGCAAGTCCTTAGATCAGTCTTTTGCTTGATCTAATCACGCGCCACTCTGATTTTTACTTCACAGTCGGACAAAAGTGGGAGAAACAACTCTATTTCAAGCTTTGTATTCAGAATTAAATCGACGCTGTCCAGGTTCTCCGCCTCCGATGATATCAGGATGCTCCACGACATATTAGGCCTCATAGTCTCTTTTGGAATACCCACTAGAAGTTTTGTTCCCTTTTCTCTTCTATCTAGAGTTTACTTTCGTCCCTACTTAGACTCCAATTAATTCCTTTACGTCATGCAAATACATCTAGCGCCCTTGCCTGGAGAAGGTGTTAACCTTTTTTTCGTATTTCAATTATTTGTTCGGCTTTTGATTCGTTCATGTATTGCTTTGTTTTGTTTTGCTTTTTTTGTTTTTTGTTTTTTTTTCTTCCAGTATAATAATCATTTTAGGATATAAAAAAGCCCTCGATTTCTGGTTTTACCACGAAGTTTCAAGGTGCAACAACATTCTGAATTGTGTCATGATAGAGAGTGGCACATTTAAAATAATGATCACTAATTCGGTGCCATAGTTTTGGAGCGAGTGGTGGACTTTAGAAGGACCAACCATAAGAAACTGACAAGGACCAACCATAAGAAACTGACAAGGACCAACCATAAGAAACTGACAAGGACCACCCATAAGAAACTGAGGTTGTTTTCCGTAAAAAAGTAGAGGCTATATTTACAAAACCAGAGGTGTTTTCAAAGCACCCAAAATTATTCCGTTAAAACCCTTTATCGCCCCTAAACCACCTAATGTAAGCACCCGTACCTAAAGTTAGTTCAAATCGCACTCAGCCTTTTTAGTGGCAAGAATAAATTAACCACATTTGGGTAGCCAGATTATATTTCATTCAAGTGCGATTGCTAATTATGAGGAAAGGTCTTTCTACGTACCTTGGTGTTCTCAAATTTCAAAAAGTACCAATCAGCATGAGAATCTCTTGCAACATAAATGAATACGTACATAAACGTTCTGTTTATGTACGGGTTGAAAGTGTTAAGTCCTACTACAGCCGGAGTGTTTATGACGGCAGCTCCATGGTTTTCAGTTCTTTTAGAAAGGTTGCCTTGCATTAGGGTGAGTATTTGTTTTTGTACTTTTTTTTATTGCTTGTTCAGTCCTTTTTTTTGTTGCTTGTTCAAAACTTATGTCTTGGAAACAGCGATCTAAAATAGATCGACTTTTCTGTAGCTGCTGAAACATTCGAAAATATATACTTTTCAGTTAAAAATGATTTTTGTTGTTTATACTGTAGTTATGCAGTGTTTCTTCAACGAATTCTAGATGCACGCGAGAGGTTTGTGGAGCTCTAAAGAGCGCAGGGAGGTATACATGTAAATTTACCCCATGTAAACAACGATCTGAAATAGTGAAGGTGTAGCCTGATCGTCCGGGTGAGTGTAGTCCTGAGAAGGACTGTTGTCGGTGGTAGTGACTGACGTTTCGACAACCTGTGCGGAAGTCATCATCAGAGTCAAGTGAATGATTGTTGTCAGTAGAATGTTCTTATTCCAGTTCGTGTGAAATGATCGGTTGGTTTTGCCGTGATGTTATTGGCTGTAAGACTCAAGTGACGTAAGTCGTTCGTGATTGGTCTGTTTCGGTCTGTCGGTAAAGCTAGGTTGTTCTTTTTCGGTCGTTTGTGATGTTTATGTCGTGAATGAGTCGTTTGTATGGGGCGGGTAGTTGTTGACATCTGTTTAGGGGAGTCTGTTCTAAGTTAGTAAACCAGCTTTCCAGAGTCAGTCGTTGAAAATAGTCAGTGCTGTAGGTTAGGCATTGCGCAGAGTCCCAGTCAATGTTGTGGTTGGTAAGTCGATGGTGTTCAGCAATGTGATTGCTGACATCACCTATCCTCGTCGCCCGTCCGTGTTCAGTCAGTCTTGTTGTGAGATTTCTGTCAGACGAGTCTTTGATCGATGCGTGCAAAACTATATGGTCAGATGATTTCTGTTGAGGTCCCAAAACCTCGGTAACTATTTTAGGGTGGCCGGCTTCATTTTCAAAGAAACAATGATCCTAAACAATGAGGATGTAAATTAAATTTCCATAATATGACTCAGAACATAATGATAGCAATAAAAGTAAATAGAGACTCTTTGAAAAAGTTGTCAAATTCAAGAATCATTCAACTTTAATTTTTGTTTGGTTATTTTGTATGTATATTCCTCCTGGCTGAACTTAGGCAAACGTGCGCCCAAATCCTTTTTTCTTTTTGGTGATCTCGGCAGAGATGTTAATCTATTATTCTACACATACACATTTTCATCTTTAGTTTTCTGAACATATACCATTCCATAAGGATGATGTTATTCACTGACTTAAATTAAGGGCTTTTTTAAGGTTGGTTACTTACTTAAGATCATTAGCAGATGCATCGGATACATCACTTATTTACAATGACTGACTGACAACTTTCTCTAGGTAAAAAACCCGCTTCAAGGCGGTATTAAATTCAAACAGGTCTCACTTTTGTTAACCAGAGTAACTTACAGACTAAAGATCGACGGGCAACAAGCTATAAATCAACTGAGAAATGTTTAACGGATTCCAATGGCTGTAGCGTTAATGCACAATTTATACCAGCGGTTTATGGAAGTAAAACAGTGACAGTCTCCAAACTGAGATGCCGTCAAAAAGAAAAACTCCTGGGGCATTGTAATCTCAAGAAACGCGATGGGTCTTGCCTTCAACTGCCAGTCTACGGCAATGTTGCAATTTCCTTTGCAGTTTTTAGACTGGACTACTTCACGGCTGAATCTGAATTCCAGGGTTATATTCCTGTTGCCACTAACTTTAGGAAAGATACCAAGGAAAATGTATTTACTCATGCACTTGTTCCTTGGAGGAGTGTAACCAGAGGAGTTGTTTTCCAAAACACCAAAATCAATGTTGACGTAATCTGGGTGGGGCTGAAAAAGAGTGTACCATTCACGACCATCGCCTTTTTTCCTTAGTTTTAGCAACAAGTTTTTCTTGTCTTTGAAGAGGAAGTCAACAATCTGCTGAGCATCCGACCGCAGAGTGAGACTGAGAGGGAGAAAACTGAATCCACCCCCTTCAATGACATATTCACAGAATACCTCAATAGTTTCAGCATTTGGCAAAGGGCGAATTGTATGTACGCCACTTGTCACCTCAGGGTATTTCAGTTGAATTCTTGAAAGCTCGTAGGAAGTCTTTGCTAAACATAAATAAATGCACGAAAAAAGAAATTCGGTAAGATATCTTTTGAAATAATTTCTCGAGTAACAATTTCTTGGGAGACTCAGGTACCAATTACCGAGCCCTTCAATTCTGTTGTATTAAGACAGACCTTCGCTTAATGTTTTTTTTTGTTTTTCAATCAATGGACCAGGTAGAGAGGCAGGATGGTTCTAGCTCTTGGACGAGCATAGGTACCTATATTCTCTTATAACATTATTTTGATGTATGCATTACCTCCCTATGGGTTATGTGCTTATTATTTTCAGAAAGTCATCGAGGAGGGGAAAATATATTTATAGCTAAGGCCGTCCCCGTTACTTGGAAATGCAAATTTGACCATGAAAACAAACAATCGAGGAACGTTTGAGTCAATGTCGTTAAAAAATTGCGTGATTTTTGTACAAATTATATAGCAAATTGTTCCATACGCTCAAGAACTTCTAGTTATCAAGGTTTTTCCAAGTGTTACTTTAAACACGAAGGCGCGCTATAAAAGGCGCCTTAGGTCCCACTGGACCATTTGTAAATCAACCGTCGTGTGATGTAAAACTCTTAGAGTCAAGTTAGCTTGAGTTACAGCTACTCCAAGGCAGCGAACAGCGGGCGCATTCCTCAAAATTGTTTTATGTCTTCACCACAATACAAGAATTTGTATTTCCTTTCTCCAATAGAAACTTTCTTTATTTGTGGCGGTAAATTTGAGATCGAAGTAGGTGGTTCGCATGTT